TAAGTTGTTAAGTTAGCAGCTAGCTGAGAACCTTCATTCTCATTCGAGTTTTCAAAGCTCTCCATCCTGTTCTCAAAACTCAGCAACACAGCATATGCCTCCATTAATGTGATTTTCTCAGATCTTGAGGTGAGGCTTACAACAACAGGATTGTACTCTTGTCCAAGGCCAGACAGAAGATGAAGGAGCTGGTCATTTTCCTCAATTTTGTGTCCAGCTGCAGCCAACATATCACATATTCCTTTGATTTTGTTGAAATATTCTCTTATCTTTTGGTTACCTTTCTTCATGGTCTGGAGTTCCAACTTGAGTTGCATCTGTTTGGCCAAGCTATGGCTAGCAAAACTCTTCTTTAGACAATCCCAGATCTCCTTTGCCGAGTTCAGACCAACTGTGGTGATAAGTATGCTTTCAGATAGGGAAGAAAGAAGCCAAGAGGCTATGAGCTGGTCCTGTTTCACCCACTGCAGGTAAGCTTTGTTGACCACAATCTCATTGTTTGCTGGATCTCGGGTAATCTTATCAGGCTGAGGTGTATCTCCACTCAAGAATCCATAAAGGTCATAACCCCTGAGAGTGGTCAAGATCTGTTGCTCCCAGATCAAAAAATTGCTTTCATTCAGCTTGGTGGAAATTAATTGGCTTTGAAGGTGTATGACTGGATCTGGCTGTGGAGGTGCAGCCATTGTCATGAAATAAAAAGTAATCAGAGCCTAGGCTCTGATACCATAAAAGGAAACGCAATAAAGAACCACAAGAAAGCAAGAAAAGTCATGAACACAGTATGCAAAAAAACGAGAAATCATGTTCTTTCATTTAATGCTCAAACTTGTCTCTTTTCTTCATTCATGCTAAGGTAATATATTATTAATCTGCAACACACTATATATTTCCTTTTATGTTGCGGCCAATGCTGAATGCTTCTCAGGGATGATGGGACAGGTGTGTGGACCATATTCATTTGCATGATTTAGGGTTAGTGACGTTGCATGGCTCGGTTTTGTTTTCCTCCACGTCTGCATGTTTGCTTTCCACATGGGCAGTCATCTTTTCCTTATTGTTGCTGAGATGTCGAAGACTATGTCCTCTTCTAACAAAAAGGCGTTTTCAGTAAAGAAGATGAAGCCTTATATCTATTCAATAGTGATAATGTGGGTTATATTACGTTTATATGAATTGTAGGTTAGCTATTCTAAGCACTGTAGATAATATGCATACATGTATTTAGATACATATATATCGTATGTAGTTGATTCAAATAAAAACAAGTCTCAATGTGAGAACATGAGAACCATATGCAATACTATTCGTAGTTCTATATGATATAATTTTTTGTATTACATGGTGTTGTTATTTATACAAATGTCATTATAGATCATGTTGCTATTTTTATGAAATAATTTTTGTTAAAAGTATTACAGAATATAATTAATCATAACACTATACATAATTAGAATTAATAGTAACACTACACATAATTAAAATGATGTAATTTACATCAGCCTTCAATAGCGGTACTCATAAAAGAGAAAGACAACGTGGCACACTTTTAGTATTATATCTTAAATTTTCAACACAAAGGACATTTTGTGCGATATGAAAACGACCTCAATTGCATTTTCTTTGTAGTAATCACTTTGTAAGAACACCATCCTAATTGTTTGTCTGGCCCAAGCAGTTCTTTTCTAATTAAGCCTCTCCTAATATATTATGATTATCTATATGCCCCCACTCAGTCCCCACATAACTGAGAGCCCAACATAAGTATATAACCACGTTTGAAAGCACACAACCACCAAATTTATAAATAAATGAACTTTTTTTTTTTTTCAGCAGAGTTTTAAAAGGTACAATTACAAAGGAGAACAAAAATTATATGTCTCTTGAGAATTATTTTTACAGTAACATTAGGATGAAGACGTGGGATATACATAAAAATTAAAACAGTACAAAAGTAGAAATATTTCCGGAAGCTGAATGGTCGCATGAAATTTGAATAACTAAAATAGGGTTCTCACTCACGTAATTACAACGGGAAACCAAACAGGGAAGTTTGTGATATTGGCCAGAACAAGCATTGGTACACCAAATGAAACTTCTGCACACATTGAAATTTTAATATTTTATTAATTAATATTTTTATTTATTTTTGGACATACATCCATAATAAATAAGATATATAATTAATAATATTATTATTTCTTATCCACTAAGTCAAATCATAGTATCATAAAGAATCTTAGGATAAGAAAAAAATTATATCAAATCAAGAAGGACCAATCAAATTGATGTCTTCTTCTCCAAGACTCTTTCTTCTACACCTATAATTAGGGTTCTCCTCAATGTCACAAATCACACCTCAAACACCCAAGACACCTCAAAAAATCTAACACCTCAAAAGTTTTATGTTTTTATAAAATTTGTTGTTACAATTTGGCACGCCCGGTGGGACTTAAATAAAATTTGTTGTTACAAATTTGGCACGCCCAGTGGGACATTCTCTACATCTTATCTCTTCTCTCCAAATCAAGTTCGAAGATCTTTGAAGATTTGAAGACGATGTACAAGGGGAAAACTAAGGATGGTGTCTCATCAAGCCATGAAGCCCTCGAAAATCGTCGACTTCATCAAATTCATTCAAATGGAGGAAAAAATCCATGGGGCCAATTTACATGAAAAAGATCCATCAAATTCATTCAAATGGAGGAAAAAATCCATGGGGCCAATTTACATGAAAAAGATCCATCAAATTCATTCAAATGGAGGAAAAAATCCATGCGGGCAATTTACATGAAGAGCTCCATCAATCATCAGATTCAATGCTCCTTGATATGAGCCTAAACTATCTATAAAGCTCTTCGATATGAGCCAAAACTATCCAAATATTCAATTCAAATGCTCCTTGATACAAGCTTAAACTATATACAATGCTCCTTGATATGAGCATAAACTATCTACATATTCAAATGCTCCTTGATATGAGCCAAAACTATCTACGATGCTCCTTGACATAAGCATAAAATGTCTAAAAATTTGAAGACTCCTTGACACGAGAATAAAAGGTCTACATATCAAATTTGAGGCTCCTTGATACGAGCATAAAATGTCTACATATCAAGATCTCCTTGACACGAGAATAAAAGGTCTACATATCAAATTCGAAGGCTCCTTTATACGAGCATAAAATGTCTACATATCAAGATCTCCTTGACACGAGAATAAAAGGTTTACATATCAAATTCGAAGGCTCCTTGATTCGAGCATAAAATGTCAACATATCAAGATCTCCTTAACACGAGAATAAAAAGGTCTACATATCGAGATCTTCTTGATAAGAGAATAAACTATCAACATATCAAATCAAATCAAGACTTCTTGCACGAGTTTAAACTATCTACAAACCTAAGTTGAAGAACTCCTAGATAAGAGTTTAAACTATCTTCATGTCTCAACCAAATCCAGAACTTTGAGACTCATTCACTATCAAGACATTTTGTCCGTGAACAAGTCTCAAGGGGGCATTTGTAGACATCGAAATTTTAATATTTTATTAATTAATATCTTTATTTATTTTTGGACATACATCCATAATAAATAAGATATATAATTAATAATGTTATTATTTCTTGTCCACTAAGTCAAATCATAGGATCAGAAAGAATCTTAGGATAAGGAAAGAGATTATATCAAATCAAAAAGACCAATCAAATTGATGTCTTCTTCTCCAAGACTCTTTTTTCTACACCTATAAATAGGGCTCTCCTCAATGTCACAAATCACACCTCAAACCCTAAGACACCTCAAAAAATCCAACACTTCAAAAGTTTTATGTTTTTCATAAAATTTGTTATTACAACTTCATTTGAAAATCGAGAACCTTGGCAGCTTATCTCGCAGATAGTACAACCTGGCTTTAAGGACCTTCCAGTGGCTGACTACTTTAATCACTTTAATGTTTGGTGAGTATCCATATAACAAATATGAAGGAAGAAATTGAAGTTCAGAAGCCAGAGAATCTTGATATGGTTAAAAATCACGAATTATGTTATAAAACATTACAATGGGAGGAGATGGGCACCCAGAAGAGCATATTCAATGAAACTGCTCTATATCCATATGCAAAGGCATGTAAAATATTAAATTAATAAATTATTATAATTAAAGAGAAGGAAAAAGAAAATAATATAATATAGTAAATACTTGTAGAGGTTTGTTTTTTAGATAAATTATACCGTACATTAAATTTGGATTAATCGATTGGATAAAACAGATTATCCGACCTCGTGTTTCTAACAGCCAAATCCGTTTTAGATAGCACATTTAACACATGTTAATTTTTATGTAGTGTTTCCAACAAATTAATAATTATGTATCACAATTCACATGTGACTTTTATATCTTTATTTATTTATAATAAGCAAGGCTGAGGAGAAAAAAAAAAGGAAGAAAAGAGATTGAAAATTAAAATATTAATTAATATATTAAAAGATAGGAGACAAGATAATATAATATAATAAGATAAAATAACTAAATATTAAATTTAGGTATTTTTTAAGATAAATTACATATAGTCCATCCAAATTCTCAACTTTTAAATTAGAATGGCCTGTTTAAGTAAACCATAACGTAATATATTATAGATTGATCTTGTCAGTTTTTCACATAACTCTAATGTGATTGTCATCAACTGTAATTCCTTTTTTTGCGCACGATTACCCATACAAATTATCCAAACAATTAATACTACGGATAAATTTTTACCCACCGATTAGATTAAAATCCGATATTGTACCCAAAAATCTTTCACAGTATAACAAATCTACAAACAGATAACACAATTATATCCAAAATCGGATAAGCAAGTAGTTAAAGCTACTTAGCTCTCTTGCTAACATCTCTTTATATATTGCACACACGTACCATTCGTAATTAATGTACTTTTCTTTTTTACCTTTTTCAATTTCCCCAGTTAATTAAACACCAAAAGATTGAACTAAATAATGGCCGGCGGCGTAATTATCACGAAGGGCGGCAAGGCCTACCCCGGAAAACTCACAGGCAAAGTGTTCATCACATGTTTAGTTGCCGCCATGGGAGGTCTCATCTTCGGCTACGACATTGGTATCTCAGGTTAGATATTCATCGAAAACCACAAAGTTAATTATGTTCTTTAATTTTATTTACTTTTTTAAAGCTCAGATTATTACTTATTAATAAAATATATTTTCGATCAGGCGGGGTGACGTCAATGCCCTCGTTCTTGAAGAAATTCTTCCCGCACGTGTACGAGAAGGAGGAGAACATGGTCCCCGGCACAAACTCCTACTGCAAGTTCGACGATGCCACGTTGACACTCTTCACATCATCCCTCTATCTGGCCGCCCTCGTCGCCTCCTTATGCGCATCGCACGTGACCCGCCTGCTCGGCCGCAAGTGCTCCATGCTTTTCGGCGGCTCCCTTTTCCTAACCGGCGCTATCCTCAACGGCTTCGCACAAAACGTGGCCATGCTCATCATCGGCAGGATTTTCCTCGGCTTCGGCATCGGTTTCGCCAATCAGGTTCCTTTTCAATTAATTAATTCCGTTACATTACACAATTGGATGCATGAATGACACGTGTTTTTTCTTTTGCAGTCGGCCCCAGTGTACCTCTCGGAGATGGCCCCATACCGCTACCGCGGCGCCCTCAACATGTGCTTCCAACTCTTCATAACCCTCGGCATCCTCGCCGCCAACCTCATCAACTACTGGACCGCCAGGTCAGCGTCCGGCTGGCGAATCAGCCTCGGCTGCGCGGCTGCCCCCGCCCTCTTCTTCATCCTCGGCTCCCTCTTCCTCCCCGACACCCCCAACTCCCTAATCGAGCGCGGCCACCCAGACCGCGCCCTCGCCATGCTCCGCGACGTCCGCGGCATGGACGACGTGCTCGACGAGTTCAACGACCTCGTCGCCGCCGCCAGCCTGGCGTCTTCGTCCGATCACAGCCGCCGGCCGTGGACGGAGCTGGTGTCGAGAAAGCACCGGCCCCATCTGACGATGGTGACGGCCATCCCGTTCTTCCAGCAGCTGACGGGGATGAACGTGTTCATGTTCTATGCGCCGGTGCTCTTCCGGACGATCGGCTTCGGCAGCAACGCGTCGCTGATGTCGGCGGTCGTCACGGGGGTGGTGAACAGCGCGGCCACACTGGTCTCGATTTTCACGGTGGACAGGTTGGGGAGGCGGGTGCTGTTCATGGAGGGGGGGATTCAGATGCTCGTCTGCCAGGTGGTGAT